TTGCAGCTATTAAAAATTGGGATAATATAGAAAGGTTACCATGCACCGCACATACCTTACAGTTAACAGTAAATCATATATTAGATAAGTATCGTACTCAAGTTCATCGGATTTGTAAATTGGTTAAATTTTTTGATTCACCTAAACAAAGTCAAAGGTTAGATATAGCACAAATAGAGTTGTATAAACAAAAAAATCTGAATGAAACCTTTTTGAATCCAGTTCAATCCAATGACACCAATGATTCTGAATATGATAGTGATTTTGAAAACGCTGAAGATGAAATAGAAATTAACTCTTATTTAATCGAAGCTAAAAAGTTTGTTCCTACTTTATGAAATATAAAAGATGTTTCTACTTAGTGGAACTCTAAATATAAATCATAGAAACGATTAATAGAATTACGTCCCGCATTAGATGGCTTTTAGCAACATTACCTTTAGGTGATTTAGATGCACTGAAAGATGGTAAAAAGTTACAGCAATTGATGTTACATGAAGAAAAATAGAATTTCGTTCAAAAAATACTTGACCTATTACAGCCATTTGATAGTATTACTGAATATTTTAGTGCTGCACGATATCCAACTATAGCATTTATTTTTCCTTTGATAGAAATGATGAAATATCATTATGCATTAAATATAGATATTAATGATGATTCAAGAATAAATAATGAAGGTAAAATAAATTTTTACCTACATTAATTTAAGATTCTGGGTTAAAGTTACCAAACTATTACCAATGCTATTAATTTTAGCATTTTATTGCTATTATAGTATATCAGGTGACTTTAACCCAATTAAATAAAAAATTCTATTATAGCCCAGATCAAAGTTACCCAAACCAGTACTAATACTATTAATTTTAGCACGTTACTATAGTTATAATGTACCGGGTAACTTCAATCTAGGTGACAATATAATCCTTATTAATTTGATTAAATATAAATATTTATATTTTTAAGAAGTAGCCAACTTCGATTCAGAGTCGGAAAGTTCAAGTGAATCATCAGGTTTATCTGATTATGAAGAAAACTCAAACATCATGCAGTCTTAACACAATACAAGGTCCCAAAAAAATCGATTAAATGTGTTAGAAATTAATCTTGATCTAACTATTAAAAAAATACAAACTGATATTTACAATTCATTATTTGAGTATTGGGATAATCTATCAAAAATTTGCCTCCTTGCTACATTGTTAGATCCACGGTTAAAAGAAATAGTCTTTACAGGTAGTGAGGTTTGTAATGATACTATTCGCGAATGTCGATATCAACTTCGATTAACAGATGTACAACAAATATCTGAAACACCTGAAGAACTAGAGGTAAGTATCAATCAGCAAGTTTGTTTTAAAAGGAAAAAAATTCCAAATCGATTCATTAATTTAATAATTGATTTCTAGTCCTATGATGATGTACTTGATGAATCCAATACTTCAAATACATCATTGAATTCTTCAAGACCTTTTTCCAAAAAAATGGTTGAAGATATTATATTTGGTACCTCGCAAATGTCTCAAACCTCAATGGATAAATTAGACTGTTACCT